ATCGGAAGAGCTGTGCCTTTCAGGTCCTGGATTGCCTGGATTTGAATGAATGGGGTAACATCATCCTGGAGATCATGACAAGGCACCTGCACAGCGAGTCCATGGAGAGGTGTCGCCTGGCACTCAAAGGCCTCGTGGTCCTCAGCAGGGACCCCTCGATGGTGAGGAAGCAGCAGCTGAAGCTGTGCTGGTAGTGTGGGACTGCGGCAAGCAGCCCCTTGGCCTTGGCTGGCCTTTGGGAGCTGTGGCAGCTGCTCCAGGCTCGCTGTTCAGCTCCCTGAGTACTTTGGGATAGGCCTTTGGCTTCTGCATTCCCTGGCCGGCAGGTGGGGTTGCACCACTGGAACAGTGTTGGTGGTGAAGCTTTTCATGCATTCACAGCACAGCCTTGTGTTCCACATAGGCCAAAAAAATGTGCGGCCTGTCTGAATGCCTTGTGGAGCTACTGAAGAATGAAGACACAGAGGTGGTTGAGATGAGTCTCTCTGTGTTCACAAATTTGCTCCTGAACAAAGATATCCTAACATCCAGCCCCACAGCACCGAAACTGGCTGATGCGCTCCGGCCCCTCTTTGACAATGTAAGGCTCTGCGCCCCCAGCCATGGCCACTGGGTGCTGTCCAGAACTGTGGTGCCCTGTGGATTGTTGGGCCTGTGCACAGGAGGGACTGGAGAATCCAGTGCTGAGTTTTTTCCTTTCCACCAGGACAACAGCCATGTGCAGCTGCTCTCAATTCGCCTCTACCAAAAGGTGATGGAATCGGTAGTGGAAAAAGGAAAAAACCCCCTGAAGATGCATGTGAGCCAGAGTCTGCTCCCTCTGTTCTTCCACTGCCACGATGAGAACCAGCCGAGCGACCGAGCACCTGCGCCTGGCCCTGCCGTACCTGCAGAGCCCACAGGAGCCCCTACGAGAGGCGGCTGTCAGGTCCATTGGTGAGGCACAAACCCGGGTCTCGGTCCCTCCCTTCCCCACTCCATCAGGGTCCGGGCGCGGGCCGTGGCAGGCTCTCTGTTCCTAGGGATTGCCGGGATGCTCATGAGGGGACAGCCGGAGGAGCTGCAGCTCATCTGTGAGGGTGAGTGAGGCCAGCAGGGTGTCAGTGGGAGCTATTAGGAGAAGCTGCGATCCCTGCCCCAGCTGGGGCTGGCTCCGCTCCTTGTGTGGGCAAGGGGCAGCATCGGAGGTCACAGAGCCATTTGAGCGGTCTGTGGGGGGATTTGTGGCCAGCACTTTTTAGCTGATGTTTGTTGTGTCCTGCTTTCTCCAGGCCATGGCAAGAGCTGGTTGGGCTGGTCCCTTCAGGGGGTTTCCTCACTCTGACTGTGGGTCTGTTTGTTTCAGCCCTTCAAGCCCTTAGCACAGATGACAGCCCCTCCAACACAAACCTGATCGTTCGAGTCATGTTCGATGAAAGAGCTACAGCACTAAATTCATCTGAATCAACACAACCAGGACAGCACCAGATCCCATGCAAGAGGAGACATCCTGGAGATCAGAGAAGAGCAACTGCAGCTCCAAGCACAGCTGATGCTGGGCAGACCTGAGCTTGCCTTCCCTCTTTACTGCTCCCTGCCTGCAGCCCTCAGACCCTGCTTGTTCCCTTCTCCTTCTCCCGAGCTCATCCCTCTGCTTTGCTTGCTATTAATAAACATTTCAGCTTCTTCACCTTGTTTGTATCTTTGTGGAGCTGAAGTGGAGCCAAACCTGAACCCTGGAGCACACAGGCCCCATCCTGCTGTTCTTTTCTGTGCTGCGTTTTGTGCAGAGAAACAAGGCAGATCATGCTGGAAAATCTGGTTTCACAACATTGTGGACCTAAGGGTCTTGCTGAGCACACTGAACGTCACCAGTAGGACGAAGACCCTGGATTTTAGAAGAGTCAACTTTAGTATTTTCCGAATCCAGCTCGGAGATCAGAGAAGAGCAACTGCAGCTCCAAGCACAGCTGATGCTGGGCAGACCTGAGCTTGCCTTCCCTCTTTACTGCTCCCTGCCTGCAGCCCTCAGACCCTGCTTGTTCCCTTCTCCTTCTCCCGAGCTCATCCCTCTGCTTTGCTTGCTATTAATAAACATTTCAGCTTCTTCACCTTGTTTGTATCTTTGTGGAGCTGAAGTGGAGCCAAACCTGAGCCCTGGAGCACACAGGCCCCATCCTGCTGTTCTTTTCTGTGCTGCGTTTTGTGCAGAGAAACAAGGCAGATCATGCTGGAAAATCTGGTTTCACAACATTGTGGACCTAAGGGTCTTGCTGAGCACACTGAACGTCACCAGTAGGACGAAGACCCTGGATTTTAGAAGTCAACTTCAGTATTTTCTGAATCCAGCTGTGAGGGATTCCATGGCAAGCATCCACTGAAGGCAAAGGAGCTTGGAATGCTGGAAGTTATTCAATAATAGCTTCCTTGAAAGCACAGCAGTGGTCCTTCCCTACAAAGGGAGAGGAAGAGGGCAGAACCAGAAACCACACTTGACTTACAGTGAGCTTTGGGTGTACTAAAAATGAAGCAAATGAAGCAGCAGCACAGGGGCTGACACATGACAATGTCACTGTACTGAGCGCTGTCAGGCAGTGCTGGGATCCTGGCTGCATTTCTGGTCCCCACAACTGAGCAATCACAGCTCCTGCCTCACAAACAATCAGAAACCCAACCAAGTGAGACCAGAGAGAGGAGAGTGAGACCAGAGAGAGGAGACCCTTACAGTCTCCCTTGGGCACAGCTGCAAAACAGCTGCTGCTTCTTTCTCCTCCTGTATTTGGGGTTTGCTGTTCCCACAGCCAGATTGTGCTCTGTTTTCCAGACTGTTCAGAGCAGGCATGAAAAGTGCTCCGTGCACAGAGGAGAGTCCTGGAAAGTGCTTACAAGAGCATCTAACCCAAATCTACCCTTTTGCAGTTTAAATGTGTGGTTTTCTCCAGCAAGAAAGAGCTCCTCTGGCTCTGTCAGTGCCTGTTCTGCTGCCTTTGGGCTACCTAATATTGGGATAAGGAACTACACCAATTCCAGAGTCTGCAGTGACAACCAAGATGCTGAATTTGAGATTGGCAAGTTGGTATGCTGACTATATAAGGCTAAACTGGAGTCCTATGCTGAATTTGAGATTGGCAAGTTGGTATGGTGACTAAGCTGGAGTCCTGAAGCTCCTTTGATGCTGTGATGTTTTTTCAGCAGCTGAGAACTTGAGTACAATTGCAGTTTTGCTCTCAGCTCTAGGAATCACAGAATCCCCCAGCAGTTTGTATTGGAAAGTATTTTAAAGACCCTGTAGTTCCAGTTGCCTGGCTATGGGCAGGGACACCTGCCATTAGAACTGGACTAATCCATCTTTACCTTCCCTCCTCTGGATTTTGATCTAATGTGAATATATCAGCTGGTTAGATTTTGTAGCTCACAGAAATAGAACAGGAGTTTCCCAATATCCCATCCAAACCCACCCTCTGGCAGTGAGAAGTCATTCCCCCTGTTACTCCAGGTTCTTGCCCAAAGTTTTCAGCAGCTGAGAACTTGAGTACAATTGTAGTTTTGCTCAGCTCTGGGAATCACAGAATCCCCCAGCAGTTTGTATTGGAAGAGGGAAGAACAGCCTGGCCTCCCAGCACTACTAGAAAACTTTTCAGCTGAGGAAGTTTTGTTTCACTGGAGACACCAGCTCCCCCTTTTCCCAATATCCCATCCAAACCCACCCTCTGGCAGTGAGAAGTCATTCCCCCTGTTACTCCAGGTTCTTGCCCAAAGTTCCTTTCCAGCTCTCTTGGAGCCCCTTTAGGCACTGGGAAGGGCTCCCTGGAGCCACCTTCAGGCTGAACATTCCCAGTTCTCCCAGCCTATCAGTGTAATGCTCCAGTTCCTGGACCACTTCCTGGTCCTTGCTGGCCTCCTCTGGACTTCCTTGAGGCCCTCTCCATGCATCCCAAAGCCACCACAGCTTGCACAGACAGAAGCTGCCCTCAGCTGCCTTAAGGGCACAGCACACACAAACCTTCTGCTGCTGAAACACAGAACTGGGGAAGAACAGCCTGGCCTCCCAGCACTACTAGAAAACTTTTCAGCTGAGGAAGTTTTGTTTCACTGGAGACAGCAGCTCCCCCTTTGGCTTTAAACACAACCAAAGGCACAGTCATTGATTAGAGGCTGAATAAAATGATGTATTCCAGTCCTGCCCACCTCTCCCTCAGGATACTGACAGGCTGCTGAGTTCAGACAACTTCTCTTAATGAGATAGATTTTTTTCACAATCATGCCACCAGAGAACAAACAGGGATAAAGCACTTTTATTTACACTTACTCAGTCTGTAAAACCATGTGTACACCACCATCATTTAAAGTGCAGGCTACATGTCTTCTGAATAAACTGAAGGCATAACAGGTCCTGTGTAAGATAAAATACTGCCACCAGTAGTTATACAACTAACTACAAATGCCAGTAGCATAGTTCAAACCCTGTCCAGCTTAGTGTGTTACTTCCTCTTGTACATTACCAGCCAAAAACATATTCCATTGCTTTAGATACAATACTTTCATCTTTCCTAGGAGTTTGTCTGTCAGAAACCACCTAGAAGGCAGGGAGAAAAACAGAAAGAGAAAATACAGAGAATCAGTCAACATGTAGGTAATAGTTCTTACATTAACAATTTATTTCTTCTTTTCCTAAGTGCTACTATATTTTGACAAAATATGTTTGAAATATCTTCAAAACAAGCCCTTAATCCCTGGAAAAGTGACAAGTCTTTAATTTAGTATTTTTTAATTTTTATTTTAGAGACTGAACAGACTGAGCTTGTATGTGAACCACATCATTAAAGAACTGACAGCAAAAGGTAAGGTCACGTTGAAGTTAATGTCTGCACAGCCTCACAGAGGTAAGGGGAGGTAACACAAAAACACATGTTCCTATTTCCTTCAAAATACCTGATAGTCACTAGTGGAAGCCTTATATGCTGTTGCAAGAGGTCTCATGGTAGAAATCCTTGCAGTATTATTTGCAGACTGTGTTGGTGTGCCAGCAGATTTTGTAGGTGGAGTGAAAATCGAAGACATTGAGGACGTAGAGCTTCTTTCAAAGTTTTCCATCACACTCTTAAATAGAGAGTTAATATAATGTAAACAAATACTGAAAAGCAGTATTTCAACCTTTATCATCTAAGATCATCAACTATTTGATTTTTTTTGATAAATCTTATTTGGATCCCAAAAGGTAAAAGGTGTGTCAGTACAGAACATACAGGTACACATGACCACCAAGCATTTTCCTCACTGCAATCATTTACATGTGAAATTATGCCATTGCAAAGTAGTGGAAGGTTGGAATCTGTTCACTGTCTGTATTAAATGTCAGCCAAGTTTGAAACAATGTAGAGAATAAAATACAACAGGGAATGCACTCAAACTTCAAGGCTCCATTTCGTAAGCTTGTGTTTAGAAAGGAATGTGTGTAGAATGGAAGAGGTAGGAGGTGACTTGATAGGAACCACAAGTTCCACAACAAACCAGAGAAAACAGGATGGTAAATAACATGATTTGGTGCATTCAGACTCAGTGGAACATAGGATTCCACCAGCCTAAAGACAGCAGAAATTCAGCAGCACATTTGGTAGAAGAGCACTTACCAAAATAAACAATAGGATTGGTGTACGTGGTGGGTGGGCAGCTGACTGCTTAGCACAAGGGGAACCCATGGAATTAACTCATACTTTTAAATCAGAAGCCCAAGTGTTGATGTCAAATCCTTCATATCTAGTTTTCAATTGCAGGAAAGTCTTACCAAAACCAATCCTTCAATGGATTAGTCTCCTGAAATCTTTTGCCTCCAAAAATACAAATTAATGATTGTGGGTTTATTTCTTGGTATATGAAAGTGAATACTATCCCCAAAAGACAAAATGAAAATTCAAAAGCAATGAAGATCAGATGCCTGGCAATTATGTCTTAGATCATTACTCCTAGAGCTTGAGTTTACGAGCAATTTATTCATTGACACAAACTGGACACCAAAAGTATAAAAAGGCATGGACAGACCACCAGCAGAAGCCCACAGAGAAAAGGGCCATAGAAGTACTTGTTTCTGAATTTTACTGAGTGTAAGAAATGTTTCAGACTGCTAAAACTTCAGTAATTGCAAGTTCAGTTTCTAAGGCTGCCTTCTCAGAATGTTTTACATTGGAAAGCTTACATTACTCTTTAGTACCATATATCCTTGAAAGAGACCAAAAAAAATCTGTGTAGAATGACTGAAGAAGGACTGTTATTTGCTTAAGCTAATGTACAGTACCCAGTGCAAAGGGCTGCAGGTATTAAAGGTCAGGATATTGCCAATACCTAGACACTAATAGCTCATGTTAATATTAAGACTACAAGACAGCTACATCTACCCCCAACTACTACTTAAAAGAGAGTGACATGTTTTTATAGGGGCAGGTGGAGAACAGGATTGAGAAATTCTTGGTAACAAACTTTCAGTCCAAAGTACTAAGATAAATTCAAGAGCCAGAAGCACATAGTCACATAAAAAATAGAGAGGTACAATTAGGAGCAGTAACAGTCTTAATCTGCCATTAGGTATCTGTTGCAGGCTCTACATTCCAGTCAGGAAACTTATCTAAATTTTGTCTTATA